TTTGAGGAATTTACTCGGGAATTTAGGAAATTATTCAGGACGGCGATTCTCGAATCGTGTGATCCCTGTTCTCATAGGAAAAGTACGTGTGGTTTCTATTAAAATCTATTACGACGTATTCTCAAAATTAGAGACCGTTCACTTCCTATGAAAGTTGAGAGAATTTTATTCTACTACTTTTTTTGGGAGAACGAAACGTCAAACATGCGCTTTTTGTCAATTTTACAGTCATCATCCATGGTATTTTTTTGTTTGTTTTGCAAATCATTTATTTTCAGTAATTGCCAATTGGGTACATTTGCATATTGTGAAGTAGAAAATACGGTCTAATACGAAAACGTGGGAAACCATGGAAGCTGGGGTTATAGGAAGAATTCTTGTACTGAATGATCTACTAGATGCAGAAGCAGTGGCGACGCTAGGGTATTACATTAGGGGGGGCCAGACTGGGCCAGAAAAATTTAGGGAGGGGCACTTGTTTTTACTTTATTGCTTTTTTTTTGGAATAAAAAATGGGAAGTCGACACTAATATGTTTGGGGGAATCCCAAGAAAACTTGACCTTATAGGACTGCCTATTGAGCTGAAAGTGTCTACCATTTCAGCCGCAGACCTCAACTTTCGGCGTAAAATGCATTAGCCGAACCTGAATCGCGAGCATCCCATCGAGGCCTGCGGGTGACGTCACTACTATACTTTAGCCTAGTACTCATAACCGCGAAATTCGCTCTTTTTTCACATTGCATTGACAATAGGGCAATCCAAACAAAATGGTGGTCAATGCATGGTCAATGCCAAAAAATTGGCGCCATAAATTTAATTCAAGCAATCGTGACATTTTTCATCAAGAAACTGTTTTTTGTGTATTTTGTGGTACTTTTAGATGATTTTCTAGTGTTTGGGAGGATAATTTTCGTATTCTAAGATGGAAAGTTTTTAGTTTAAGAAATTATTAGTGGAAAAAAGGCATTGGCCTCCATTTTAAATTCCATTTTGACAAGTCGTTGGATTGCCCTATTTTATGCGTGAATCAAACGTCAAATCGTCGAAGCAATGTCAAAAAAGAGCGGCTTTCGCGGTTATGAGTATTAAGCTTTAAGGGAGGATTTTCATGCATCCGTTTTTCCGTCGAAATATGTCCGTTTAACATTCTATTTTGACATATTTATATACGATTATGTCAGAATAGAATGTCAAACGGACATATTTCGACGGAAAAACGGATGCATGAAAATCCTCCCTAAGCTGCTGATAATGGTGACGTCACTCGCAGGCCCTGCCGACTGGAGAAATGGGGACCGTAGGTACGCCTAGCTTACTTTTCGTGCATGCGTTTGTCCGTCAATCCGTTGATCCGGAAGTATTCCTATTGGTTCAATATTCTGGCACAAAATATTGAACCAATAGGAATACTTTCAGATCAACGGATTGACGGATAAACGGATGCATGAAAAGTAACCATAAATCTTACTTTTCATGCATCCGTTTTTCCGTCAATCCGATGATCTGGCCTATTGGTCCAATATTTTGGCGCCAACCTATTGGACCAATAGAAATACTTCCGGATCATGGAATTGATGGAAAAATGGATGCATGAAAAGTAAGCTGAGGATGAGTAATCCTGAGGCGGGATTGTGTAACGGATAGAAATCCTTATCCCTTTTGCTATGGCACTTGCTGTCTTCTTCTCTCTTTTCGAAATCAATAGAGAGGGGACGTCAATAGCGAAAATATCTCTATTCGTTACAGAATTCCACATCTGTTAGTTTACGATTCTTGGGGGAATCCCAGGAAAGCGAAAACACCGTCGCGATTACCTGTGCCCACCGAATATCGAATTAACCGGCACAGGCTGCTGATGTTGCATTGCATTGTTGCCGGCATGAGAGCAAGTTCTCAGGGGGGGCCAGCTAAATTTCAGGGGGGGCCCGGGCCTCCTCTGGCCCCCCCCTGGCGTCGCCACTGTGCAGAAGAGCAAGAAGAAAGGCCTATAAGGAGATTTCACAGAAGAGAAAATCTCTTTGATTTAACGGATAATAAATTTATAAAACTAATTAGATTGAGCAAAGATCTTGCTCGAAATTTAATTGATTTATTGACACCTTTTATACGGACTCCAACTAGTGAAATTATTTAAACAGTGTATGCACGTGATCAATGACGTCGAAATTATTGCCAATTGCAGTTTGTAAGAAATTAAAATTCGTTTCAAGCTGAGAGCTCATTCTCCTTTTTATTTAACCTTAGTTAAAAAAAGACAAAACACTGTTGGCATTTAACCGAATCGGCCGATAAAATGACATTTAGATTGGCACTCATGGGTTATGTTGCCAAATATTGCTGCAAATCTGTGGTTACTGATTTTAATAATTTGAAATTATTTCTATTTGTGTATCTATAAAATACCAAAGTCATTGAATAGTCAGAGTCAGAAACTCGTGTCAGGAACGAGATAATGGGGGCCCCTTTTTGCTATTAAATAGCGTTAGAGAGGTGAAGTATATTGATACTATCAAATATAAATCTTCTGGGGCTTTAATTGGCAATATTTTTCCAGCGTGTTTCAGCTGCACTGAATATTGGTATACCTAACCACTGTGAGTAAAATCCAATGTAAAATCTCTCAAAAAGTTAGGGATAATTTAGCGTTAAATTCACCAGAGAAAAAACGTCCACATAAGAAGCGAGTTACGAATCAAGATCACCTTGATGTTAGCTCTATTCGCAACCAAATTTACGACGAAAAGTGAGTTGTTTTTTTAGATTGTGTTCAAAATACACTATCTATACAAATAAAAATCATTATATATAATGTATCTTCCGTATTCTCGTTATTATTTTTTTAAATCTGACAATTTTGATTTCAAAAATGATTTTGGAACTTCTATTTGCTCTCGTAAATTTTTATCTATCAAAAGTTGACTTGGACTTGCACCACAACTCAGAGGTGTATTTTTGTAGGCAAGTAATCTTTAGTTGAAATCTTCTGACTTTTTAAGAATCTTAGCTGTTTTAACACCCCTTTCTGCTAAACCATTTGATTGTGCATGATATGGGCTGTTTTGACGCCATTCAAATCCATAAGTTTTCGTAAAATTTTTGAAAAATAAACAATTGTATTGAGGTCCATTATCCCTGCGCAATATTTTTGGAATTCCAAATCTGGCATTATATTTTTTTGAGTTTTTCTACTATAGTTGCACTAGTTGTATTTTTCAAATCAATTACTTTCAAAAACAAACTATAATAGTCCAGTAATACAACCATATACATTTTGTTTTAAATTGGAATAAATCAGATCCAACAATCCACCAATGTAAACTAGGGATTTCTAAATTTAAAATCGGTTCAGTCATAAGAAATTTATCTTTTATACATATTCAATAAGATCTTTAATTTGAGAAATTATTCCTGGCCACCAAATCATTTTTTTTGCTCTTGCAATATATTTTGTAATTCCTAAATGTCCTGTGTGTATGAATTTCAGATATTTTCTTTTTAAATTTGATGGAACTATTCTTGTATCGTTGTACATAAGTAAATTTTCCACCAGAGCAATTTCTTTCCTATATTTATAAAATGGTAGTACTTAGTTCATATTTATCACATAAATTTTTATGTCCAGGCCATCCTTTAAACAAATATTCTTTTTTAACAACAAATCTTCCTGTTAAAGCTTATTGCTGTAAATCCTGATATTCTGCTGTAATTGTCAGACTTGCAATACATAGTTCAAAAATTTGTTTCCAATATATCAAGATCTTCTGTTCCAATAGGTAATGGAACTCTGCTAAGAGCATCGAGTCCAGTAAGTTCTTTCCTAGGTATGTAAGTCACAAAATAATCGTAAATTAGAATTTTCATTCTGAAATTTTGCAATCGTACTGTTAATTCATTAATAGGTTTCTTTGTTAAAATTTCTCGCAGAGATCCCATGATCAGTTCTAATTTCAAATTATTTTCTTAATAAAAATTGCCTGAAACGATTGACAGTATACATATTATTCCTAGAGTTTCTTTTTCGATCTGGCTGTACAAAGACAAAAAGTCTATAGCCTAGTACTCATAACTGCGAAATTCGCTCTTCTTTGACATTGCTTCGATAATTTGACGTTAAATGCGTGATTCAAACGTCAAATTGTCGGAGCAATGTCAAAAAAGAGCGAATTTCGCAGTTATGAGTACTAGGCTTATGACATATTATGACTGGCGTAGTTGACTTACTGACGTGAATATAGCCACAAGTTTTGACATTTTGACATTTTGGTACTTACTATTTGACTAATTATTATTAAAATAACTATATCTCAGGACCTCGGCTTGTAGTATACTTCTACAACAAAAAGTAAGTACATCTTGATGATACAAATGTACCATACTTCAAATCATCCATAACAAATCCAAAACTTCTTCTTAGCAATCAAATATCAATTAACAAGATTCAAAAGCAAAAGATGAGGGTATCGTGTTTTATCAGGACCTTATGATTATATGAGAGCAAAATATGAAATGAATGACAAAGGATTTGATGAATAAGCTATTAGAGTAGGAAAAGGAGAAAGATGTCCAAAATCGCCATCCAGAATCTGGCTAAACGTACTGAATCTCACCTTTCTTCGAAAGAGAAGGCTGAAAAATTCATACTTCCCAAATGACCATTAATAAATCTTTATAATTTTTAATTTTCGCCAGGTGAAAAATCTCAAGTTTTTATTTGTTTGGTGGTATAATAGTATATATATAGACATATTATTCCAGATTGAAAAGTAATATAAAAAGTTGAAAATTGCAAAAAATGTATAGAAAAATCTACAAAGATTCCTAGCAGGTGAAAATCATTTTCCCAATTTCCTCCGAAACGAAAAAGAAAATCAAAGTAGTCACTCCTTAAATTTGCAAGTAAAATCATCTGGCAAGTGTCCAAACCAATGACAAACCAACCTATATACCTTGTCAAGCCCACCAGAAAAATTCTAGCGGTTCGGTCAGTCGAAAAGTAATTCAAGTAGGAGCGCGTCCCGCCATTTTCGCCAGAGTTTGAATTTTTTAAAAAATACCGAGCAAGCGCTTTCGGCATCATGGAAACCGCGCCTTCGTCAGTGTCGTGTTTACCTCACCAAACGAAAATGTCGAAGGCGAAAAAAGTGCTGGAAGAGGCCAGAGAAATCCAAAATCCCGAATTGGATTTGTTCGATAAAGGCGTGGCGACATTTGAAGAAATGCCCGGATTGCGTAAGTTGTATAAAAAGCTTGATTTTACCTAATTTGGTATGTTGTTTCATGTTACTATTAAAACAGATGATCCAATAACATTTAAGTATTGTATACAAAGATAAGTAACATTTTCATCTACTATATAGGCAACCAACAATACAAAACAATATAACTAAGAAAAATCTATTTCAGTTAATATGACCAACATTACACGGTTGACTTTAAGCCTCAATAGACTTAAGTGTAAGTAAATAAGCAAAAAGAATTACCATTCACTTACCAATAATTCTATTGTAGCTGTTCCTCCTGGCTTAGCAAATCTGACAAATTTGGAAATCATAAACTTAGCCAACAATCAAATTGAAGACCTCCCTCTGTCTCTATCTTCAATGCCAAAGTTGCGAATACTCAACTTATCAATAAATAGACTATATACCTTACCCAGAGGTTTTGGAGCATTTCCTGTATTGGAAATACTAGACCTTACTTATAATAACTTAAAGGAAGACTCTTTACCTGGAAACTTTTTCATGATGGGTACAAAAATAATTAAATCAAAAATAAAATAACTCATGAATTGTTTTAGAAACCCTACGAGCTCTATATCTTGGCGACAATGATTTTGAAAAATTGCCTCCAGAAATAAAAAACCTTAAAAACTTGGAAATTGTTAGTAAATACCTAATAATAATAACAATAAACATATTAAATATTATCCTAATTGTAGTTGGGTTTGAGAGAAAACGATTTGATTGAACTACCCAAAGAAATAGGTGAATTATCCAGGTTGCGCGAATTGCACGTGCAAGGCAATCGCTTAACAATAATTCCTCCAGAATTGGGCAATTTAGACATGTCCTCAAATAAAGCTGCGTTCAGATTTGAGGGCAATGAATGGGTACAACCAATAGCAGATCAGCTACAGTTGGGTATCAACCATTTGCAAGATTATTTGAGAAGTGAGACTTATCGCATGTAAGTAGGATTTATTTGAAGTTTAATTGTTTATTTGCCTTTTTTCTTTTGCAGATTATATAATCGTTATTTGACAAATAAGCCTCCAGTTCCACCACCTTGTGTGGACAAAGCTAAAAAAGTTTCAAGGATTCGTTGAGAATTGACTATTGACTCTCTTGTGGCCTTATAATTGTTATTGTGTTACTGCCATTTTATATTTTTAAGAGACTAATTATTTTTTTGTATTGTGTACAGGGTGATCTATTATTGATGCCATCCTTTATTATTATTATTATTATTATTATTATCCTCTCCTAACTTACTCATTTGACGTTTTCAACTAATTAAGTTTGAAACCTTATAAAAGGCGCCTTTTTCCCTGTAACCATTGAAGGTGAACATAATAATATTCAACCTTATATCGTTAAAATCAGATTGAGCTAACAAATGAGCGCACAATATATGCATGGTGTTGTATTTAAAAAAAATAAACCTTTGCTACACTTTTTTGGGCAACCTGTATGTTTAAAATCGAGAGGTAAACCACTCCCCGAATTTGTGCTAACAATTCCTCCCAATTCCTCGCACAAATATGGAAATTTGAGGCTTTGAGGCAACATATCAAAAACTCGAAGCAATTGATCCAAAAATTAAAAAGTTGTGGGCCCTGAAAAACATGCACTTTCTTAGAAAATGACACATTTGCTAAGTCTCTCTATTCAAAGATTTTCCACAAAAACTACTTGAAGTACAATAATTATGAAAATTAGAGGAACTATTTTTAAGGCTTTGAGGAAATTCATATCCAAAACTCAAAGCGATTGATCCAAAACTCAAAAAGTTGTGGGCCTTGAAAAACATGCATTTTCTTGAAAAGTGACATATTAGACAAGTCCTTATACTCAAAGATTTCTCTCAAAAACTACTTAAAGTACAATTATGAAAATTTCAGGAACTATTTTTGAGGCTTTGAGGCTATTCATATCAAAAACTCAAAGCAATTGATCCAAAACTTAAAAAGTTGTGAGCCTTCAAAAACATGCATTTTCTTAAAAAGTGACAAGTCCCTATATTCAAATATTTCTCTCAAAAACTACTTAAAGTACAAGTATGAAAGTTTGAGTAACTATTTTTGACTCTTTGAGGCAACTTTATATCCAAAATTCAAAGCAATTGATCCAAAAATGAAAAAGTGGTGGGCCTTCAAAAATATGCATTTTCTTAAAAAGTGACACATTGACAAGTCCCTCTACTAAGATGTTCCTCAAAAACTACTTGAAGTAGAACTATGAAAATTTGAGAAATTATTTTTGAGGCTTTGAAGCAATTTGTAGCAAAACCTCAAAGCAATTGATCCAAAACTTAAAAAGTTGTGGGCCTTGAAAAACATGAATTTTCTTAAAAAGTGACAAGTCCCTATACTTGAATATTTCTCTCAAAAACTACTTAAAGTACAATTATGAAAAGTTGAGTAACTATTTTTAAGGCTTTGAGGCAACTTATATCAAAAACTCAAAGCAATTGGTCCAAAAATGAGAAAGTTGTGGGCCCTCAAAAATATGAATTTTCTCAAAAAGTGACACATTTGACAAGTCTCTCTACTCAAAGATTTTTTTCAAAAAATACTTAAAGTACAATCATGAAAATTTGAGGAATTATTTTTGAGGCTTCGAGGCAAGTTATATCAAAAACTCAAAGCAATGGATCCAAAAATGAAAAAGTTGTGGGCCTTAAAAAACATGAATTTTCTTAAAAAATTACACATTTGACAAGTTCCCCTACTCAAAAATTTTCCTGAAAAACTACTTAAAGTAGAATTATGAAAATTTAAGGAACTATTTTTGAGGCTTTGAGTCAATTCATATCAAAAACTCAAAGCAATTGATCCAAAATTTAAAAACGTGTGAGCCTTGAAAAACATGCATTTTCTTAAAAAGTGACAAGTCCCTATACTTGAATATTTCTCTCAAAAACTACTTAAAGTACAATTATGAAAGTTTGAGTAACTATTTTTGACTCTTTGAGGCAACTTTATATCCAAAATTCAAAGCAATTGATCCAAAAATGAAAAAGTGGTGGGCCTTCAAAAATATGCATTTTCTTAAAAAGTGACACATTGACAAATCCCTCTACTCAAAGATTTTCCTCAAAAACTACTTGAAGTAGAACTATGAAAATTTGAGAAATTATTTTTGAGGCTTTGAAGCAATTTGTAGCAAAACCTCAAAGCAATTGATCCAAAACTTAAAAAGTTGTGGGCCTTGAAAAACATGCAGTTTCTTAAAAAGTGACAAGTCCCTATACTTGAATATTTCTCTCAAAAACTACTTAAAGTACAATTATGAAAAGTTGAGTAACTATTTTTAAGGCTTTGAGGCAACTTATATCAAAAACTCAAAGCAATTGGTCGAAAAATGAGAAAGTTGTGGGCCCTCAAAAATATGCATTTTCTTAAAAAGTGACACATTGACAAATCCCTCTACTCAAAGATTTTCCTCAAAAACTACTTGAAGTAGAATTATGAAAATTTGAGAAACTATTTTTGAGGCTTTGAAGCAATTTGTAGCAAAACCTCAAAGCAATTGATCCAAAACTTAAAAAGTTGTGGGCCTTGAAAAACATGCATTTTCTTAAAAAGTGACATATTTGACAAGTTCCTATACTCGAATATTTCTCTAAAAAACTACTTAAAGTACAGTTATAAAAACTTGAGTAACTATTTTTGAGGCTTTGAGGCAACTTATGTCAAAAACTCAAAGCAATTGATCCAAAAATGAAAAAGTTGTGGACCTTCAAAAATATGCATTTTTTCAAAAAGTGACACATTTGATAAGTTCCTCTACTTAAATATTTTCCTCAAAAACTACTTAGAGTAGAATTACGAAAATTTGAGGAACTATTTTTGAGGCTTTGAAGCAATTCGTATCAAAAACTCAAAGCAATTGATTCAAAATTTAAAAAGTTGTGGGCCTTGAAAAACATGCATTTTCTTAAAAAGTGACATATTTGCCAAGTCCCTATACTCAAATATTTTTCTCAAAAACTACTTAAAGTACAATTATGAAAAGTTGAGTAACTATTTTTGAGGCAACTTATATCAAAAACTCAAAGCAACTGATCCAAAAATGAGAAAGTTGTGGGCCTTCAAAAATATGCATTTTCTCAAAAAGTGACACATTTAGTACCTCTACTCAAAGATTTTTTTCAAAAAATACTTAAAATATAATTATGAAAATTTGAGGAATTATTTTTGAGGCTTTGAGGCAATTTATATCAAAAACTCAAAGCAATTGATCCAAAACTTAAAAAGTTGTGGGCCTTGAAAAACATGCATTTTCTTGAAAAGTGATATATAGGACAATTCCTCCTCCAAAAGTTCCTCTGAACTGCTAGGAAATTCGCTGCAAATGTTACAAACCCTGAAAATCCCCAAAATTGTTCGTGATTTTTATTACGCTCAATGCTAAAGTTCCTATACTTGAATATTTCTCTCAAAAACTACTTAAAGTACAATTATGAAAAGTTGAGTAACTATTTTTGAGGCTTTGAGGCAACTTTTGTCAAAAACTCAAAGCAATTTATCCAAAAATTAAAAAGTTGTGGGCCTTCAAAAATATTCATTTTCTTAAATATTTTCCTCAAAAACTACTTAGAGTAGAAACACGAAAATTTGAGGAACTATTTTTGAGGCTTCGAGGCAACTTATGTCAAAAACTCAAAGCAATTGATCCAAAAATGAAAAAGTTGTGGGCCTTCAAAAATATGCATTTTCTTAAAAAGTGAGACATTTGACAATCCTCCTACTCAAAGATTTTCCTCAAAAACTACTTAAAGTAGAATTATGAAAAATTGAGGAACTATTTTTGAGGCTTTGAGGCAATTTGTATCAAAAACTCAAAGCAATTGATCCAAAACTTAAAAAGTTGTGGGCCTTGAAAAACATGCATTTTCTTAAAAAGTAACATATTTGAGAAGTCCCTATACTCAAAGATTTTTCTCAAAAACTACTTAAGCGTACAATTATGAAAATTTGATGAATTATTTTTGAGACTCTGATGCAACTTATATCAGAAACTCAAAGGAATTGATCCAATAATAGAAAAGTTGTGGGCCTTGAAAAACATGCATTTTCTTAAAAAGTGTCATATTTGACAATTCCTCCTCCAAACTCCAAAGTCCCCAAAAATTCCTCTAAACTGCTCACAAGTTCCTTGCAAATGCCTGTTACAAACTCCCCCAAAATTGTTCCGTGATTTTTATTACGCTCAGTCTCAGTGCTAAAATTAATAAACCCTCCCAATTTCTTATACATTCTTCCAATTTCCCATAAACTCCTTCCAATTCCCCACAATTTTGGCAAAGAATTTCTCCCCGTGCTTAAAACTGATTCACAAAAACTTTGGTGTTGGACACTGCTGTTGAAAACATCATATGAACAAGTTAAAAGGGGGGTGACATTTATAATAGATCACCTATAGGTATATAGCCTTATAGTTTGATAACATTAACTAATAAAATTGTATTTTATATTTGCCATTTTAATGAAATCATGGACATTTAGACAAAATGATATTTATGGAAAGCAATTTGCAATGCAAATGGAGCATTGCTAAGGTTGATTCTACAACATTTAGTGCTTAAATGAAATGAAAAGAATAACAGAGTAAACATCTTATTTAGGTACCTTATAACATAAAAATTTACAAAAATAAAAGCAACTTATAATTACTCCTAACAGTTTGACTATTATAGTAAATTGTTGTGTTGTATAAGAATAAAAAAAAGCTTAATGGTTACTTGGTAATTGCGGCAAGCCAAATTCATCAACTTGTACTCCATCCTGAAAAAAAAAAACCTGTAAATTGCCAGCAATATTTCTTTCAAATACCAATCTACCTTATTTGTTCTAGCACCAATAGCTTCAGGTTTATTGAGTGGAGCCTCAGGTGCTTTACCAATATCATCCAAATAGCTCTGATCATCATCTAAAGCGATTTCATCACCGAGAGCGTCTAATTCAGCTGCCAATTCATCATCATCAACTTCAGGAGTATTGTAGCTCCTGCCTAAAGCTTCTTGGACTTCATCAGCTTGATCTAGCATGTCAGCTAAATCATCTTGGACATCATCAATGTCTTCAATGTTGATTTTTTTGAATTCTTTTTTCATTGCTTTCATTCCGTCCTTCATGGCTACAACAGTGGCTTGAGTGTCTTTGATGGTTTGATGAGCAAAGTTGGCTTGCTCCATGTTGAAAGACTGGCCCCTTAAATTCTCCAGTTGATTTTCGTACATTTTCTTTTGCTTGAGTATACGTAGGGCTTTCGCTTTGACGGCGTTTTTCGCCGGGCCTTCGCGCATTTTCGACATTTGATCTCTGAATTTTCGCAGGTCGTTTTCGAGAATGTTGATTTTCTTTTCGACATTTTCAGCTCTCGTATCTACCTAATTTGAAAAGGAATTTTGATTGTTGAAAGATTCATTTTTCAATTGCTTACCCCTGCTATGCAGTCATTGATACTCGGACCTGGTTCTTTAGGTTTGCCTTTGCCAAATAATCGATTCATTGTTTTACGCCCTATAAAAACTACAATCAAATAATTAATAATTATTATTTGTTGGTTGATGATGACTCAACTTTTAACTTTTTGTGATAAACATAAATTCAAAATAATCAAATGTCAAAAAAGTAAGTTAGGTTAAGAATCATATTTCATTAGCGACATCTATTCGTAGAACCAGTGCAGAAAAAATGTATTTTTATTTCTTTCTTATGCAAGCTGTTAGAAAAAGACACCAATATATCAATCCAATCCATCTTTCAAAACGAAAAATTCAATATGGCGTGGCGGCCAGCAAGTTTTTTTTTGAATATGTGTTTTTATGAATATTTCAATCATTTTGCTTCGAGTTTTGTATTACCTAGATTCGAACCTTCTTTTCAATTCAATACTAACCGCAACTCGCTAATGTGAATGGTTTAGAAGTTATGACCATTTGAAAAATAGTAACCTTATATTTTCCCTTAGACAACATTCAAGTCTCATATCTCAGACCATGGCAACAAATTGTATAATATTCTGATGCATATCGCTGGATTAGGACTTTCTTTTCAATTTAAAACTAACCGCAACTCCCTAATTTGGATGGTAGTAGAAGTTATGTATGACCATTTGAAAAACAGTAACCTTGTATTTTCCCTTAGAAAACATCTAAACCTCGTATCTCATACCATGGTAACAAATTGTATAATATTTTGATCCATATCGATAGATTCGGACCTTCTCTTCAATTTAAGTTATAACCTTGTATTTTCCCTTAGAAAACTTCCAAGCCTCGTATCTCAGACCATGCCAACAAATTATATAATATTTTGATGCATATCGATAGATTCGGACCTTCTTTTCAATTTAAAACTAACCGCAACTCGCTAATGTGAATGGTTTAGATTGAAAATATCCATCTTATGGGGTGGGGTTTCTATCATAATATTAGATTAAAACTTCAATTATCACTTTTTTTTTAATAAAACATTTCAAAAACTGACTAGCTTCAAGCATATTATATAAAAATTACTTCATAATCTAGAGGGTGATGGTAAGAAACAGATCACAAATTTAACAAACAAATACAATAAAATGCGCATAGCCTTTTCTACACTTAGGTAATACCTCTTATAATAATACCTAAAAATCAAAACATCTAAAATATCTTCATTTTTGTGTTTTTATAACAATTTTCAGTGCAAGTGAATTAGCACCTAATGAAAATCACTTTGCCTAGTAATCCCAATCATCCTAAATTAATCCCTTGTATCCAAGAACTCAAATCAGTCTCATCATCGCAATCGACACTAATTTCTTGAGGACAGTCGCTGTTTAGGATGATTTGTGCAGCAGTTCGGCCTGTTAAATAGGCTCCATGTACGGTCGAATAAAAATTACTATGAGTGTGTTCGCCAGCAAATAATAATACTGGCTAAAAATTTTACACAATAACTAATTTACCTTAAATCTAGTAATCAATTAAGTACCTTTGTTTCACTTTCATCCAAATACAATGGCTGTGCTAAACATTCAATATCAATTTGTGAAGCTCCTACAGCAATTGCAGTATAAGATCCTCTAGTGTATTCTTGCTTATGCCAACTGGTACTATTGAATTTTCATTTGTACAAAAACACTTCATCTTAAATAATAATTATTACTTACCATACACAGCTTTTTGGTTTTGGTATGAAAGGATCGTTTAAAAACTTCCTCAAAATCATTGTACAATTTTCTATAATTATATTGTTGTCTAAAGTTTCCATGTATTCAGCTTCCTTGCCAGATATCCATCCTAATATTAAAGTTTCTGAAATTTTGCTAAACGAATAAATTTTTCTATACCAATTTTTGCTTATGTCGTCATTTGGGTGTTCTTCCCAAAGTAGCAAAACTTCTGTAATACTGGGGTGTAGAAATGGCCTTTCATATTCTAAAAGTATTTTGTCAACAGTACCAAACAGTAACCTATCGATGGCCTCCAATTTGTACTCGGGCAGTGGTGGTTTGAAAAGACTATTAGCTTTATGCTTTAATACTCCTAAAGGTATGGTACATATCACATGATCACCGTAGAATCTTTGGTTATTTTCACATACTATTTCTACTTTGTAATCAGAAGATGCTGGGGGGGTTTTTTCTTCTGAAGACTCTCTACTAGAACTTGGAGTGTTATTTAAGTCTTCTATCACTGTTCTATCTGAGTCGTCTGAGTCTGAATCTGAACCAGATTTATCTAGTTTCTATAATAAAAATATTCTGGTAATTTAATATGTTGGAGATTTGAATAGCAAAGTGTTTATTTTATGGTTTTTGATTTAAGTTAAATATCGTCACTATAAATAAATAAATCCTGAAAGTTTGAACTGTTTTTGATTGCTTGGAGTATTTTTCAGAAGCTTCCAAAGGTGATTTAATAGAAATTATAGGTATGTACAGGGTGCTCCAGTATAAAGTGAACACCCCCTACCTTTTCGCTAAAAAATTTTTTTAAAAAAAATCAAGATAGCCATTTGGTGTATTTTATTTCAAGGAATTTGAAAACGTTTTTCAAAATTTAATTAGATTTTTCATTAAAGCGCTGTGATCAAAAAAGTAGTTTTTTTAAATGGAATAACCTATATTTAAATCATTTTTTGAAACGCCCTTATTTTTTTAATTTCAAATATATAGTTTGTTTATCATTATTTTAGTCATTTGCGATATATTCTCACTTGAAAATTCCCACAGTCTAGGAAAATAGTCGAAATATACATACATTGCAAAAACAAAATTCCTACCCAAATGAAACTTTACAGGGATGATAGGGGGCGGGTGGGTGATCATAAAACCGAAAATATCAAACATTCACCCCTCTGGCGTTTTGCGTTATAGGAGTCGAAAGTGCGCCATTGGCGATTACTTGGTACCTATTGATTTTACAAAAAAATGTTTCAAATAAAAGATGTGCAACATTATTTGATCTACAATGTTTATCTAAAGACTTTTTTGATTAAGGGCCGTCTGTGGTCATAAGGGCCGTTTGAAATTTTATAATGAAATGGTCAAGTAATTAGCGAGCAGCAAGTTAATTCAGGTATCATTCAGGCACAAATAACACGCAGAATGAATGAATATATACGGCTGGGGCAGCCAGATTTGCAGCATGATGAAAATTGGGAGAATGTGCAACGAAGAAGGCGTCGCAGGTTTATGATCGGACGTAAGGAGAATAATCCCATAAAAACAGTTCCCGAGTATGTATCTTTGCATATAACACGCTTGGCACCTTCCACCAAGCCGGAAGACTTGCAAGCCATCCTTCAGACTGAATTCACTGAAATTCAGTGTGAAAAACATGAGTCTAAATATCCAGATCTTTACAGCTCCATGAAAGTTACCATTAGACGCGAAGAATTAAAGAAAGCCTGGAACAGAGAAGTGTGGCCCAGTGGGGCGCTCGTTTCTCATTTTTTCCGGAACAAGAGAACGCTGACGCAACCGACAGATCCTCCAGAAGAAACCATCAGATAAGTTTTTACTACCAGACTGTAAGGGGTCTTCGTACAAAAACCCATGATTTTTTTGCCAGTGTGCTCACTGAAGATTATGACATAATTGTGTTAACCGAAACATGGCTAACTAATGGGATCGAAAACTCTGAGTTATTCAATAGAGAATACAGTGTCTTTAGAAAGGACCGAAATAATGATAAGTCGATGGGAGGTGGAGTACTTATTGCTACAAAGGTACATTTGGCAGTAGAAGTTATTGATATTGAATGTGATAGAAGTATAGAGTGCCTACTTTTAAAGATTAAGTATAAGAAGAATATTTTTTATTTGTCCTGTTTATATATTCCACCTAACAGTAATTTATGTGTATATGAGAGTGTGTTTGATGCATTTGAGCCGTTTCTTTCTGGCAATATAGATTTCACTCTTATGGGTGACTTCAACGTGCCAAATGTTTCCATGAAAGCCTGTGATAAAACCTGCCTTATCTATCAGTTCCTAGAGTTACATAGTCTGACACAAATTAATACTATATTTAACTGTAAGGAAAGGTTGTTAGATCTTATTTTTAGTAATATGAATTTTATAGATATTCTCGAATGTGATAATCCTCTAGTCAGTAAAGATATGTATCACCCGGTACTAAATATGTTAATGATATTGCATGGTAGTGGTACCCAGTCTGATGAAAATAACATAAAGAAAAGCTTTTATTATGATTACGCAAATGGCAATTTTCCCATGCTTTATCACCTGTTAAATTCAGCAGATTGGTCTAATATATACAGTATCTGATTGTGATGAATGTGTGGAGATTTTTTATGATACTTTATATAAATATATAGACCAAGCTATCCCTAAAAAGCTTGACAAGGCAAGTAGTGGCCGTAAGTATCCAGTCTACTTCTCAGTTGAATTAGTTAGGGACATTAGGAAAAAGAACAAATTACATAAACTGTGTAATTCAGGGAATGCAACAGATTTGCAAATCACTGAATACAGGAATCTAAGACGTACTATTAAACACCAACACCAGACTAAAGCTGAATTTAGGTCATATCAACAAAAGATTTAAAACAACATAAATTTAGATCCTAGCAGTTTTTGGTCATATGTCAAAGGGAAAAGTAAAAACAATTGTATCCCTCATGTAATGAATTTTAACAATGTTAGTTTTAGTGAACCACAGTGTATAGCAGATGCCTTTGCTCAATGCTTTAGTTCAGTTTTTCAGAAGTCTACACCAGTCGATGAAAACATTTGTTATGAGAGAAATTTCGTCTTTCCTAAACTGACAGAAGAAAATGTCAGACTCAGCATTAAGAAACTTAAACCGAAAAAAGCCACTGGCGTGGATAATGTTCCACCCTATATTTATAAAGGCTATGTAGATATATTTGTTAAGCACCTTGTACATATTTTTAATCTGTCAATCAAAACAAATAAATTTCCTAGTCTTCTCAAAAATTCAGTAATTTCTCCAATACCCAAAGTTGGCAAAAGTCAAAACAACATTGAGCACTATCGACCAATAACAATTGTAAATTATTTAGCCAAAATATATGAAACAATCTTGTGTGAACAACTATTAGAATATTTTCAAAGTTCTTTTTCAGACCAGCAGCATGGTTTTTTGCCGGATAGGTCCACTGTGACCTGTGACAAATCTTTGTCTGTTGACTTGCAAGGCTTCGGAAATAACAAAAGTCAATTGGATGTCATTATGACTGACTGCACAAAAGCTTTTGACAAGGTCGATCATGGTTTATTGATAAGTAAATTAATGGCGTTTCCGATTGGTAAATTCAGTGCGCACCGAGTGTATTTGCATCCTGTTAATCGGCCTGTAGAAGAAAAAGACAGAAATAGAAAAAAATGCACTAGTTCCGCACCAAATCTACCAATCGGAAACGCCATAAATAAGTTTAACTTTTCCAAAAGTGCATGTATGCTGATTGAGTCTTATCTTGAATCTAGGTCAATACAAGTTAAAGTGGGTAGATGTTTGTCTTCCGATTTTATTGTGACATCTGGTGTCCCTCAGGGGAGCAATCTGGGGCCCTTACTATTTACTTTTTTTGTTAATGACTTGCCCTTATGTGTTAAGCACTCTTCTTGTCTGATGTATGCTGATGACTTTAAGGTATATAGGGAAATTTGTGATGCTGAAGATTGTAGAAAGCTACAAAGTGATCTCGATTCAGTATCCAATTGGTTTCAGTTAAACAAAATGTATCTTAATGCTGATAAATGCTCAGTGATAACTTATACGCGTAAGGTAAATGTTGTTAAGTTCGATTACTTCATAAACAATGCTTCACTTACAAGACAAGATAAGTGTAGAGACCTAGGAGTTGAATTTCAGTCAAACCTAAATTTTTCTAGTCATTATAATACCTAGTATTGTTAATAAAGCATACAAAGCTCTTGGGTTTATAATTAGAAATAGTAGGCATTTCGAAAGGATTGATTCTGTAGTAAAACTTTTCAATTGTTTGGTGAGACCTCATTTGGAATACGCTGCGGTTATTTGGTCACCTCAAACCGAAGTTAACATCAACCTTATAGAGAAGGTACAGAAAAGATTTCTTAGATATCTTTATGTCAAAAGTTATAATGTATACTCATTGTTGGTGTCATATAGGAGTATGTTGGATGATTTTAAGATTCAATCGCTACACAGTAGAAGATGTATGCAGTCAGTCCTACTCATTTACAACATAGTCAATAATCTTAAGTACAAGTCATCCTTATTGATAAATTATGTAGGTTTTCATGTACCAAGATTTTTTCATGTAAAAATGTAAACAACTCTCCAATTAATAATATGCAGTTGGAATGTAATAAATTTATTGAAAGGCATAATATTGACATTTTTGCTTGTCGAATGGGAGAGATCAAATCATTATTTTTGGCATAAGAACCTCGGCGGGCTTTACAAGGCATCTGTCTAACGTTCCTTTTTTGTTATTTTTAAATGGAAGGTAAAAGTCAACATACATAAAACTGCGAGTAAAATTAACAAAAAAATACAAACAAAATGTAAAAATGTAAAAAATGTAAAAAAATGTAAAAAAAGACAACAATCAACAGCAAGATATAACAGTTATTATTATTATTATTAAGCTAAAAACAAAAGATACAGTCTAAGAGAGTGCTTCAGCATAGTATTCATCACAATTGTAGAAGGGATATTTTTCAAAGCAGGTCATTACTGCTTTTCTAAATTTTTTAATTTCTCTTATTGACCTGAATTCGAGTGGGAGGTGATTGTATAACTTGACGCTCTCATAAATTACTGATTCCTTGGTCAAAGTAAGTCTAGGTATAGGAAGGGGTATAAGTTGGTTTGCGGTTTGCCTAGTGGATCATTCAGGGGCATAAGTAGCAGCATTTGGATTTATCTGCTCTTTATGAATAAGGCAAACAGACTCTAGTATAAAGATAGCAGTCAAAGTTAGAATTTTTTGCTTTTTGAATAATTGTTTGCAATGTTCCCATGGCGCTGCTCCACTCAAGAATTCGGAACACTGAGTCAAAGTTAGTTTTGGAACAGTAACCCCATATTTGAATCTTAAGTGAGAATATATCGCAAATTATTAAAATAAAGCTAAACAAACTATATACCGGGTGACAATGAAACTACTACCCACGACGGAATTTCTTAACGGTTCGAGATAGAAATATGCAATTACGTATGTCGATAGGGTTGAAAATTTTGAACAATTTTAACATAAAAACAACCGAATGGCTTTTCCGGTTTCACCGGAAATGGCATTGACTTTGTTATTTTAAATGGGACACCCTGTATATTATCTGTTTTTTGGACTCTCTGAACAATTCTAAATAACTTTTGTCTAACATACCCTATGTCAAAAATTGATAGTTTTCAAAATAGAGTGGCTCAAAAATATGTTGTAATTCCTATTGGTTTGTATTTTACGTAAAAACTGAATATGCCAGAACAAAAAAAATCATGGTTATTTGCTCCTTAGTCGAAGGGGTATCCGTTAAATGATAAAAGAGAAGAATTAATGCAAGTTAAGAAAAACGCGTTTTTCGAAAATGAATGTTTTAGTTTTTGATCGGACCCTGTACAACTTATGGAAATGAAACTTCCACTACCCAATCCTACTTTTTTATCCAAATATGACAAATTCAACCTTCATAGACACCTGCAAGATTAAAAATTTGATAACTTATACTTTCAAGTTGTTATTCCAAAAATCCCAACAGATTGCGCAGTGCGCGGGCTCTTAAGCATGCGCAATAGGTGAAAACTCTAAATTATTTCTAAAAAATTCTAATTTAATTCTAAACAATACTAAAAAATTCTAAATAATTCTAGAAAATGCTAGAAAATACTAAAAAATGCTAAAAAATACTGATAATTCTAAAAAATTCTAAGAAATTCTAAAAAATTCTATCAGTTTGTACACCAAAATTCTAAGGTGGTTTCCCCCTCTGGCAATACCCTTGGCAATATAATGACCGAGCCAATGACATTTTTTCATTGAAATGTAATGTGATGCCATTGGGTAATACCGTTGATTGGTAATACCTACTTATGTACAGGGTGTCAAGTTATAAAGTACCACCACCTGTAACTTTTTTATTTTTGATCCTACATTAAACAGTTACAGGTGGTGGAACTTTATAATTTGACACCCGGTATATGGAGGTGATATATAAACTGAGAGACCCGAGGAGAGACCAAAAATTGAAATTAGAAATTTCCTATGCCATATTTCAAGTTGAGAGCATTATAAAAATCCTATCAAATAATTTATTGAGAATCACTTTACCTGTACTTTTTTCCTGCAATTCCACTTGATAACCTTAACAGGATGTTTCCTAAGTAAATTCCCCTGTGGTATGACCCTTTCCAGAGGTTCTAAAATTGCACTGTACCCTTTAGGCAAAGTAATATTACCGCCTTGTAATTCGGTATAACTGCCAATTTCCAACAAGTCAATTTCGTTCATATTATCACAACCTGATATACAAGTTTCCCTTTTCAGTAGGCAATCAAATAGGAGTTCTTTTAAACGATATTCAGCAGGATCTTTTACTTTGTCCAAATACAAGTTAATTTCTAGTTTAATGTGTTCGCCAACACTGTCAATTCCATCAGGTGGTTCATATTGGGATATGAAATACTCTTCACACCGCTTGAGGAAACACAAATAAGCCTCATAAATTTCTTGTAGAACTGCAAAAGGCACTTGCTTGCCTTGTTCAGTAGCTGCTACAACCTACAAAATATTCTATTTAATTCAATTTTTAAATGTTATTGTGGCTTTTTACCTTATGCTGTTTGGGTACGGCCATTATATCAACCAACCCGTGTTGCATTGCCAATTCGTAAACAGGATTACCTAACACCCCGTGAATCCAATTGGCACCTAATTCCACCCTCTCGGGGCCCACAGGAATTTGTACTATTCGCCCCCCAACGCGCCCCCTTGCTTCTAGAACTTTGAAATCGGTGAAATTGTTTTTGGTTAAATGATAGGCAGCACTTAGACCGGCCATGCCAGCGCCTACAATAAGGACTTTTGAGTAATTTGACTGGTTTTGTTGGGGGGTTTCTTGTCCATTTTGGGCCATAATTTAGGTATTTATTTTTTAAATAATCGTTTGTTTGGAAATGGAGCCCCCCATAACATCTGAGCTTGACAGGACGAGAATTGAGGTTATGTTTTATAGAGACGTCTGTTGAATGCACTATATTAATCATTAAACCAGTGAGCGTTTGGACATTTTCTGTCTTTTTTCCTTAAAATGAGAAGAACAGGGATGAATAAACAAAATAGCAGCTCCGAGTGTCTATTCGAATTCTACCATTAGATAAAATAATTCCCGCATAAATTTTCAAATTCAAAAACAATATATTTTGCTTATTAGTTATTATATGTAAATTATTAAACAAATCAATCAATAAACAGTTTATTCTCAATAGTAGCACAGTTATAAATATTTATGGCCAACCGCTGATAGATCTAGGCACAAAAATTCATTGAATTTGCTATTTATAGATTTAGCTCAAACAAAAAAAACAACTCTATCATGTGGTCCAAATTAATTGTGGGCGTAAAAGCTACCTGTAAAATCATTCATTCGGCTTAGAAACAATCTATAAATGTATATTTTTAAATGCAAAAATATCCTATTTCTCTACTTTTTTCAATCTAAATTCTATATATCCCACATAGAAGTATAGTACCAAGAATTTCTGAACACCTGCACGTCAAAGCAAAGAAAATATGTGAAAATTCTAAAGCCCTCGAGCTATTATAAGTGACTTGGCGTTAACACAAAAACGATTGCGTCAATTTAGGTATTTTATTTCTCAACACACTGACTGCCTACATCGCAAATAGGCACCTGGTTGTGTTTTCTCGTTTAATAATTATTCTCTGTGGTACTACTTGTTTTACCAAGCAAGAGAGGGTTCATATGTAGGTATAATACTACTCTACTTGAGCTTTAGGTGTATAGTACAAAGTGTTCCGCTCAAAGAAGCTTTTTTCTTTTTGGGTAGGTACTGCCTACCTGAATATGGTCGGCTTTGACCCGGCACACGTACCGCTTGAGGCTAAAAAGGCACTCCTTTAGCGCCTTGGTCTAGATAGATAGAAATTTTTAAACAGATTTTTTTTTAATAGCAATAAAAGTAGGAACTCTGGAGGGAAATTATTAATTTAAAAGGATTTTAGTTTGAATAAGTCAAATCTTACTGATTTAGAACCAGTTTGAGGCTTTTGATTTAAAGTCAAGCAGAGGTCTATAGGAAAAATGTTGTTTTTTGAAAGGATGAAAAAAATTCAAGGCCTACTAGATTATATGATGGAATAAGAAAATAGCTATTTATGCAACAAGTGTGTAAAGTGAAGTGAACCTTTCTTCACGAAAGTGACAATCACATGAGTTGAAACAAGGGGCTTTACAGACATATGTTACAAAAGGGCAGCAAAGGCTTTTATATTATCAAATTATAATGTATACTTATGGGTATTTATGCATTTTTGCAGAAAAACTGATACAATAATGATTTATTACGCACCATATTGTGTGTAAACAGAATTACTTTACGCAGTATTAGTCCGTGAAATATAATTTTACGTCTTTTGAAGAGTACCTACAACATATACGTAGGTACTTCACGCACAGTCATAGAAAAAAATACATACCTACTATACATGTATTCTGTCCATTCTCCTCTCTGTTTATTCGTTTATTTTTTCATTAGTCTCAATTTTCATTTTATTCGAAAGTGTCTTAAAATAAAGAAAGTTCCTAAGCTTGGGATTGATGAGAAAAACACAAAAGCAAATTGAAAAGTCTGTAACTGGAACAGACAGATTTTTTTTACTAATTATTTTTAAATTTTTCCTTTTTCGGTTTCTCAATTTTTTCGTCTCAAGCATCGACTATTCTAATAAGCTATTAATTTTTAATTTTTTGAGATTTTTTTTTTTTCAATTTTTATCTATTCCTGGCTCTTGATGAGTGTTGTTTTTTTCTAAAGACATAGGGAAAACAAAGAAATCTAAGCCTGGGTTGAAAAAAGTATAGTCAAAATGTCTGGTATAGACAAAAATCTATATAGAGTCTCAGTTTTTATTGAATTTCTTTACTCCATTTCTCAATGTTTCTGTTTCGTTTTTATTTTGTTTATTCTGGGCTCTCACATTTCTGTTCTCTTTCAAATTTCTCTAAATTGAAGATTACCTATGTATTTATATCCATCCAGAATGATATTTTCTAGTTGCCTATGCTATTTTACGATCTTTTCCGACATTAACAAACATTGAGAAAGTCCAAGAGCCTATATAGAATAGAATAATAGATCCAATAATCCTCGACCTTTGATACAGATTATACAAAATCCAGGTACCTATTCTTTCCATATAAATAAACTGCACAAACTGATTGCAATATCATTAGGTTTGTTTATGTAGCGTCAAAAAAAAACAATCAGTGCAAATCAAATCTTTATAAAACCGGATGACAATTGTTTTGAACAAACCTCAATTGACTCCGATCAGTTTATTCGAAAAAAATACCTCTAATCTACATTATTCTTATCAGTTTAAAGCTATTTCCACCAATCCACGCACACCAAAGAAGTATAGAGAAACATTTTGTTGCTGCAACATGTTTAATAGAAACAGAAACAACAATAAAACTTCCGTACATTTTGTCTACACCTTATTGGTAACTCATTTTTATAAATGTTTCGTTATATTGTTCCTTTCACCAATGTTCCTTATATTTCCTTTGTTATTTGTCGCTAAATATGGAAACAAGCAACTAATAGGAACTTTTATTGCTGCAACCGTAAAGAATAAGGAACTTGAATAAACTTTTGGAAACATATACAGAGTAAAGTTCCATGAACAAGCAACATTAATACGATGTACCTACCTATATGTTGTTTTCGGTGTGGACGAAGTTTAATATGAATATGAGTACCGTAAAATCGGGTGACTTGAGAAGATTTTGTCTCTCAGCAAGCGATATTTTCGAAACTATTTAACTTAGCGATGACTTAAACACGTCAAAAGTTGAGTCTTAACCCGTAGAATCGGTTTTATAAGTTGAGTTTTATGTGAATAACGAGTTACCCAGGGTTTTTTATTTTATTTTTTTGACTGTCTCATGTCGGACGCTAGGTTGGGTTACTTGAGACAACCATATATTTCAAGCTTCTGCTCATATTTCAAACCAAAAGGATCACGAGACAGAAGAGACGTTTTTTAAAAGGTGGCTATTGACTCCTAGCGCTAGCAGACTTGATATTTTCACACCAACGAGTGTGAATTTTTGATCACCCTGTCTGTCTTTACGACTTTACTAAACGTTTTAAGTCGTTTCCCATAATTAGAAAGCCCCTACGGCAAGATTAAGAAACTCCTAAATTTTCCACAAAGTCTCTGCTCCTATTCCACTGTAAAGACTATTTGACCACCGGGATTTTTTGTATTAAGATTATTGACTTTTCGTTAAATGGTGCACCTGGAAAAGCCATATTTTTTGATAATATTCGTTAGGATTCACTCGTTCTACTCGCACGTTTCAACATTTCGCTATCAGAATCAACATAGGGCCTGGAGCCAAGGAGCCAAGTTTTCTTTTGTTATTTTTCCATAATAGGCTGAAAACACAATAAAAACAATTGAAACAGGCACATAATTACACTCTGAATAGTTTTGGGGTGACTTATTGAGACAAGTCTCAAGTCATCAACCGCCATTTTAACTTTTCATATATATTTTTTTTGTCTTAAAAAGGGAAAGTAACGTACTATACCTATTCCAGAAGATGCACAAAATATCAATCTATTTCTGAGCAAAGTTTCAATAGGTAGTCCTAGACAGTATAGAAACAGTATGCAAAGTTATTCAACAATTTTTTAGTTCAACAATTACATACTTGCGTAAAAAAATGCACAAAAATTAACTTATCGCTTCCGCGGTGGTCCAAATATTACTATAGCACGTATTGAAAACCCTTAAGTCGAATAAATACGATTGGCGCCCAAATGCGTCGGATATATTATTGCCGGGTATACATATATTTGGTTGCCTCAAAAGTTTTGTCTCACTATACCACTATACCTATTTATTTTTATATACAGGGGCTACCATTTAAAACAATAAATTTGATAACCATACAGCTGTTCATGGAGCACCCTGTATAAAAAAATTAATGTGAAAAAATCTTAAGCAAAAAATCCTAATCAACGTGTTTTTGCGTTTTTTCCACATATTTTATCCGAAGGCTCTAGCGCATTAGTTCCAGTTAAAGTCCTCACCCGTATATAAATTCAATTTAAAACTCATATGTAATCAGGTAGGTATGTAGGTACCTATATTATCATATACCATGAAGAATTAAAAATTCATTACATTGATGATGCCTTTTATACAGGGTATCCAAATATGCGACCAACAACGCTTAACAGGTGACAGATCTCGAATTTGCATAGAAATTGAGATATATAGGGATATGCAGCCTTAAAATGTGTAACTTCCAGATACAGAGTGTCAAATTTTACTTTCGATTTTTGTGTAATATTCCTCAATAAAACGACACAGCAAAAGAAATTACGTATCAGAGGGTTTGTTGAGGCGATAAATACAAATTCATTTACAGTTTTGAAAATTAAGCACTTTAAGGTTTAAGGCTGCACCTATGTTAATTCCTATCTCAATTCTTATGGAAATCTGTCAAGCGTTGATGGTCGAGTATTTGGATACTGTCTAAAAATTGGGTTTGATACTACATATTTTGTGTGTGTGCTCGTAAAAATCATATTTTTTATGTTGATCACCTGTCAAAAAATGAATGTGGAACCCCATCGAAAATCTTCAGAAAAAAAAAATATGAACTATAATCTAATGGTCTTTTGGGATCCCCCTAAGTCCATACACTAATTTATTCTGAACTTTGGAGTCGGATTCTATGAATAAAGGTACCTACTCAGAAAAATTGAAAAATTGATAAATCACCCCAAATTGCCTAACATTATTTCTGGAACTATAAGACCAAATGAGCTGAAATTTTCAGGGATTGTAGTCCTCTACCGGAATAAGAATCGGTGAAAATTTCAGCTTTATATCTTTAATAGAAAAAAAGTTATGACCTTTC